GAGGCACAGCCGGCCTGGCGACCGACCCCGGCGACGCGCGCCAGGCCCCGTCCGCCCTGCCGCTCCCGCCCGCCTGGGCCCCGCTCGCAGCTCCTCACACCCCTTCCCTCCCAGGGCGCCTCCCGGGATGCGCCGCGGCCCTCCCGCCCTCGGGCCCGGGCCGCGGGGCCTTGCGAGGAGAGCTGTGCGCGGAGCCAACGGGCGGGCTGCTGCCCCTCGGCCCGCCCCGAGCGCGGCCGGCCCGGGAGGGCCGGGGCCCACCCGCCGCCGAGACGAGGCTCAGCCCACGGCACCATGACCTCCTCCTCCGCCGCCCGCCCAGCCCCCCGCGCGGCCCGGGCCGCTGTCCCCCCTCGGGCGCGCCCCTGCCCGTGGGCGCGCCGGCCCCGGCGCTGGCGGCACTCACCCGCGGGCCCTTGTCGCCCCGCGCCGCTCAGCGCCGCGCCGCCGCCATTGTTTGAGCCGGTGCGGCACGCTGCGTCAGTGGCGGGCAGGGCGGGAGCGGCGGCCGGGGGCGAACTGCGGCGGGCGGGCGGGGAGCGCGGCGGGAGGGCGGCGGCCCACGGTGCGGGGGTCGCGGTGACGGCACAGCGCTGCCCGGAGGCGGCGGGGGTCGCTCGCAGAAGCGGGAGCGGCGGAGGGGGACGCCCGCCTCCTCGGGCTCGTCAGCGGCGCTCCGCCCCTCCGCCGGCCCCGCCCCCGGGGCCCGGCTGGGCTGGGGCACGGGAAGGGCGGTGAGGCTGGAGCGGCGGCAGCTACGCGGGGCCTTTCCGGCCAAACGTGCTCGGGAACAGGGCTGGTCGTCCCCGCCGGCGCCTCAGCGAGAAGCCCGGGAAATGGAAATGGTAAATTTACCAAGGGTTGGTAAATGAAGCGCCCGGCACGGCGCTGGAAGCGCTCGGGGTTCCTCCAGCAGTGCACCTCGCTAGGGATGGTTAAGAATTAAAATAGGAATTTAGGCCAACTGTGGGGGAAAAAAAGTTACTGATAATCTTACCCCGTATGTCTGTATTGCCATTCAAAGTTAATATCTCTTAAAATAGGGACATGAAAGTTTACAACAATGCATAAAGTTGCAAGCACCTTCAAGATCAACTAAGACCTGTGTGGAAGTAGGTACATCCTTCGCTAGGTTTTAATGCAAACCAGTGGGGAATTGGGTCAATAATCATAGATATAACAGGAGGTAATGGAAGTTACTTGACCGGCTGTTGAGAAAATTCTTGAAACCGGAAAAACTAATGTTCCCTTTATGGACATCGGAAAAAAAAAAAAAACTAAAAGAGAAATTGACCCTTGAGAGTTCTGAAGTCCTGAAGAAGCTGGTGAGTGAACTAGCCTTTTGTATTTTGTTTAGACATTGTTTTATTTTATCCACATGTACTTGACAAGTCAAGAATTCGGCATCTTGTAAATGAAAAATCCATATGATTTGCAGAAGTTGCCTTCATATGAATGTGGAATTGTTTTCCTATGCAGCTGAGGGGTCAGATGCCTTGGAATTCTTATGTGAGTTTGCAGAAGGCCTGAGTTTCCTGAAAGAGATAAATGCCACCCTTTGATATCACCTGACAGCGTTTGGGTCTGTAGACTGTAACTGAGATGATCTGGACATGTTAGCAGAAGGATACAGGAGCTGTTCCAGTTACAAATTCTGGTTACAAATCCAGTTAAAAATTGAACATGCTGTTTTTCTAAAACACTACAGACCTTGTAATTAATAAAATAGGGGCTATTTTGTTAGTTTGAGTGAATTCCATATTCATAAGCATCCAGTATATTAGGAGGTATGTATACAGTCAACAGCAGACAAAAAGTAGAAACCCCAAACCCTTAATACAGACAGCTGCAAAACAGCTGGTCAGAATTGGTCATGGTAACATTCCTGGTTATGATTTTAGATAAAATTTTAGAGCAATCTGAGATTGTTATCATTCGTTCTAAATGTCTCTGTTATTATCAATAGCAGTGAGAAAAGGTCCAGAAAGATGACCTGGAGCTATGTGTATACAACATAAGCAATATGTTGTATATTGCTTATTGCAATATATTTGTGTTCTAGAACTCATACATTTTAAATTAATCTTTGTTGGAAAGCATAAAAATTATATTGTAAAATAAAGTAACATTAATTCCAGTACAACGAAGCCAAACTCTTCAACTTCACCCTTCCTGAACTTCAGTCCCTTTGTGCTTTTTCTAGGGGGAAAGACTTTTTTTTTCCCACTCAGAGCGTGTTATAAAACCATTGTAACGCTGGTTTTATAAATATGACTTCAATAAGCAATACGACCTTGGAACTTTTTAACTATTATTTTTATTTCCTCTGAGAAGTCTAACTGGCTGCACTTTCCCCTTTCTCCCTACGCTTCCCGGCAGCAGCTCCCGGGACACGCCGTGTCCCAGGGCATGCGCACGCTGGCTGACAGTGCAGAGGCACGTGGAGCGCTGCGGCGCGCGCGGGGTGAGCGGCGTTCGCCCGCGGCTCCAGTGCAGGAGGGTCCTGGGGAAGGGTAAGCCGAGAGCTCCTCGGATTGTGTTCTCCGGGGGCGGGGACGTCTCAAAAGTTGCGCCGGTGACCCCGACTCCTTTGCTTTTTTGTTTAACCACGGACCTTGTGCGTTCCGCAGCCCTCGCTGGAACCGGCGCTGACAGCCGCCTGCCGCACGCGCGCCACCCGCCCAGTGCTGCCCCGGTGTGCCGCCCGGTGCGCCCCGTGCCGGCCCGGTGCCGCCCGTTGCCGCCCGGTGCCGCAGGCGCGCAGGGGTTGCGGGCCGGCCCTCAGCGGCCGCCGCCGGCTGTACCCGCGGCCTACCGGAGGCTGGCACCGTGAGAGCGGTGTCAGAGGGCGGAACATGAGTCCAACGCCGCGGGTCGCGCCCCGCCTGCGGGGGGGCAGTGGGACCCTGGCCGCCCTCGCCCCGGCCATCGCCGGCCTGAGGCCTGCGCGGCGTCTTAGCCCTTTGCCACGCTCTTCCTAAACGGTTTTGGGTCAGAATTCCCGCGGGAAGGAAGAAGGCGGCGCGCAGGTGGCAGCGGGCGGTGCGCGGCCCAGGACGGGAGGGGCCGGCGCTGGTCCCCGGGGCCTGCGGGGCTGAGCTGCCCGCGGCAGCGCTCCCGCGGCTTGAGGGGAGTCGGGCAGGCGGGGAAAAACACCCTGTCTGCACGGGACCTGTCTTACGCCTAGTTACTTAAATCTCTGATAGTTCTTATGCCTGGGAGTGGCAGGTGTCCATTTTCCCCTTTGTGGAAGATTTCCTGGCTCACTGTATTTTGTAATACGGTCTTGAAAGTGCTTATTGTGTTTCAACTGTTAGAAAATTATTTTAGAGACTTTCTTGCCCTTTAAATGTATTACACCGTGTGGTAAGTGGAACACCTTAGAAACAGTTATTTAAATATATCCAAATTTCCTGGGTTTAGTCTATGTATTTGTAAGTTTGAAAACATCCAATGTTTTCTATTGATGTACTTTTAAAAGGATATTAGAATTAACTACAATTTAAAATTGTATACAAGTTTGTGGTAAATCACTTGCATCAGCTCAATCACTTCCAGAAAGAGAAAGATTTGGAAACTTCCTGTGGAATGTTTTAGATAGAGATCCTGGTTGCCCATCAATAGGATAGAGGATGTAAGTTCCATTGCAGCTCGAGAACGGGAAAGGACAACTTACCTGGGGGCTTACTTCATCCTAACTTCTTGCAGTTTAGCTTGCCAGCACTGTGGGAACTGAATTATTTGTAAAGGCAACTACAATATGGAACAAATAGAAGCAATAAAAGCAATATCTGAAAAGGAACTATAAAGTAAATCATTATTATAAAAGGTAGTTAATACTTAATATGTAATATCTGGAAAATCTGTACCTTTATTTTTGTGTGCTTTCATTTTGCATAGGGAAGAAAACATTTCATATTATGACAGATCCTAAATTAAAATTACTTCATTTTAGCTTTCCTTGTATCTGCCCCAGTGCCAGCAACAGCAATGTAGTACAATACGCTAAATGATTTTTATGCTCTGAAGTGGATTGTACAGACATCAAAAGAAATCCACCTATATCCAACTTTCTAGAATGATTTCAGTACCTTACATAGACTGCTCAAATAAGGTTTTTTCTTCCTCAGTGTGTGCTGCTGCCACTACCTTGATAACGTTACACTGATGGAATCATGTGAACAGTTGAAGAACATTCAAGTTTGCCAAAGGTATTGATAATTTTTGTTGTTATATCTCCTAAAACAAGACTTCAAGACTTTACCATACTCTCTGAGTTGAGGGAATTTGATGGGTCTTTTTTAGTGTACCATGACATTTATCACCAGTGGTTTGTGTTCCCCAGCTTGGAACCAGTTTTGTAGGTTGTAGAGTATGTAGTTGTTAGCCCTTTGTACAAATTGGCATGTATTCTAAGGAAACAAATTAATACCAAATTTCGATGGATAAGGCTGTAGCTTCCACTATAATTTGGGGAATTAGGTTGCTTTTCTTTTGCACAATGGGTGATTTCAGCTGACGTGTGACTGTTCAATAGTCTGTATTACAAAGGTGGTCAACCTTCCTGACTAAAAGCCATCTTACCTCCTTTTACCACCAATAGTTGTATTTTCTGGCAGTTCTTGGACCCCAGTTTGGCATTATGGAGTGGCTTAGTGAGAACAAACCTCAGTCATGCAGTGCTGGCATGTTAAAAAGTTCAGCTTTGCCTTCTCAGTAGTAGCATGATAGCACATGTGGCTTATAAAGGCAGGTTTCTAAATTTGAAAGCTTACCAAGTGGACTAACTTCATAGCACTTGTGAGCATGTCAGTGTTCATTGTTAGGAGTTTTTCTATGAGAAGATACCAGGCTATAGGTTCTTCTCAAGCTTACCTCACTCAGAACATTATAATGTAGTGACACTGATTTTTACCTGGTTGTTGTGACTGTACTTAACTGCTTTAATATGCTCCCGTTACAGGTACCTCAGAATTGAATTCTTCTTAATACAGTGACCATGTGGGATCAAAGAAAAATGGTCTTCTGTTTTTCAAACACTTGAATTTGTTGTTTGTAACAACATGATTTACTGTGAAAACTGGAAGAAGAGTCTTTCTGGACACTTTAAAGATAGCTGGTAGGCACAGCAAAATGCTTTGTTTGAGGCGGGTTTGCTTGCTTACACTGAGACGTTGCCAAGCTCGGACTCTGTGTAGTGATCTGCTTTTGAGCCAGATAAATAGCTGCACCCATGAAGATGAAGTGTTTAGCCTTGTTGGAAGGAACAAGGCCAGACTTTCTGAAAAGCATGTGGGAATTGCATTCAACATGCTGTGGCAATTGCAAAAGAAGAGGCCGTTTCTCTTAAGGACTACTGACTATGTAAAAAATCACTCCCAGTTTCTTACCCTTTGCGTTTTGGCAGAAAACAAGGTGAAAGACATGGAAGATGAGGCCATAGTGGACACCTTATATAGTATTCTGAGGTAAAGAGCATTAAATTGAATTCCATGTATATATATTTTGTATTTGGTAATAAAAAGAGAGGGAATTTTGACTATAGAACCATACTATAAGGAGACTGCGAGACTGCCCTGCCACAGTTTCCGTAATCCGTGTGTCACAGATGGCGTAATGTCCTGTGCTTCAGTTTTTGAGATGCAGGTAGAACAGATCTGTTTTGCACTCCCAGTAAATATGTTTTATGATTGTTATGAGTTATTAATGCACAAATGTTTATAATCTGTTTGAATGGAGGGAGCGATGGAAAAGTAAAACATGATAAATAATGAAAGGATATATGTCTTATTTCTTTGTAACTATGGGAGCAAGCTTCAAACTATTATGTCTTTCTTTTGAAGGCTCAATGTTGAAGACCATGATTCTCTAGCAGAAGCACTTGTTACAGAAGCATGGAAAAGATTAGAAAGGCAAGTACTGTATTGCTGTGCTTTGTGAAAGGTGTACATTGCAAGCATGATTTGCTTCATGTGAGGTTACACAAGAGTTCTCAAAGAGTATGTATATTTAAAGCATAACATGAGTATTTTTGAAGGTTTTGGAAATTATACATACAGACTTTGGTACACAAATGCATGAGAGATTCAGATGCTGCAACAACAGGGGCCAACATTTAAAGTTTTGAAATATAATGTCTATGGAGATTTATGTGTTCGAAGGAAATTGCAGGTTTTAATATTTACAATTTTATCTCAGTGCTTGCTGTCCAGCTCATAAATGGTTGTTAGAAGCCTGTTCATCTCAATTTAGTGAAAACATTTTGTATTAAAACAGCAACATTTTCCCTTTGTGCATTTTGTTGTTGGTTTCATTGGCTTGGTTTGATTTCTTTTTTTTTTGGGATATTATAATTTTCATTCTGTAACCTCAGGGTAATGGCAGAAGCTAGTGTCAGCCTTGCACCAGCACCACAGAATTGCCTCTTTCATCTTAACATGTGGGGTTTCTTGACAGGTAAATTAATACAGTGTAGCTTGAACACAAAGTGATATTCAGATAATAAATTGCTCACATTCATTTTATTTCACATTTATGTATTTCACATCATTGCTTGAGAACATAATCTTTATTAGGCTGGTCTGGCTAAGTGAAGAACAACTGATTTTCGTAGAGTTCCATATGCACAACATGCTTTAATATTAAACATCTAGGTATTTTGTTTCCTTATTTTGTAATTTGAGTATACCCTTGCTTTTTGTATGACTGTTGAAGTAGATTTTTGTCTTTAGTTATTCCCTAGAAATAAAAGGTAAATATTCTTTCTGTCTGTCTTTAATATCTTGACAGGTTTAGTTTGCCAGCTCTATCTAAATTTACACTGTGCTTATACAAGCAACACAGGCATTTCAATCCCATAATTGGCCAAGTAGCTCATATTGTGGACATGAAGCTGGATTCTATACAGGATGTAAGGTAAGTGTCAGAGTGAAGCTAAGGAGAAGCAATATGTCACAATTACCGTGCTGCCTTTCCTGAACCCTTTCCTTTTTTCCTCAACTGGAGGTTGCTTTTCTTCAGTTTGGAGTTTGTGGGAAAGAAGTGTTTTGTGTTCATGCATTGTTTGACAGGTGAATGCATTTTCCCAATGATTTTACGAAGGATTTCTTTATAACCAATCTAAACAACTAAAACTACTGTTTGATTGTTTAGATAGGTTATAAAGATTTAATTAATTTCCACTGTTCTACTTACAGTAGAATAATATGGTAGACATTTAGAATCAGCTTTGTCCTGATTCTAAATTTAACATGGACTTTTTGATAATTTAGAGGCTATTGACTCACCAGAAGATGTTTTTCTTCCCTGACATTGATAGCTTCTCTACTTTGACATGGATTTAGTTAGCTATTGTGAATAGCAATAAGAAGTTTAAAAGCAATGCTGTGTTTATTTATCTGCGGAGTATTTTTTTTCTAGTCAAGCTGAATTAATGAATTCTCTTGCTAGCATGTCCAGCACATTATCCTAATATTAAAACTACTTAAAACACAGCACTGGTCAAAGAAGTCCAAGCTTCTTTTTTCTTGCCTCTGTTCCCTCTGGGCCACTATAGTGAAGGCTTCTCTTTCTTTTTTTCTGTTTTATACAGCATTAGCAGTGCCAACACTTATTTTTGCAGATGTGAGGATCCTGCCTATGAAACTTATTGAATGGGACTCCATTTCTTTACAGAAGTGACTCTCTCTGTGGTCATAAGTTTTATTCCCTTAGGAAGGGATTCTTTCTTTAGGAGTGACAATGACTCTTCTCCCCATTCTGACACTTGAGAATTGTTTGAGTTTCTTTGGTGTCTATTGAGCATTAAAGATCTTTTTGCAAATTTGAATCAGGCAAATCAGACTCCTGCCTTAGGCAAATGCTTCTGTCGCATGCAGCTTTGTTAGGGATGGCTGAAAAATCCCAATTGTTTCAGAAGTTCACTGAAAGCAGAATTTTTACTGTAGAAGGATAAATGGTTTTTGCTCATCTGTTTTTTCTGCATTAGATCTAAAATTCCTTTTTGTGCAGAAGCCAGCAGCACCTTGACTACCATTCCTTTCTTTGTGTAGTTTATTTAGGAAATCTAAAATTTATTGCTTATTATGTTCAATGTGTAAGTGTAAAATCTTTTGAATTTTTTAGGATCTTGTCAGTTTTGATGGTCGGCATATCTGATGTTATCTCACAGAGTTTTCGAGATCGATTACTACACAAGGCTGAACAGCTGCTGGAAGAAGAGAATGAAGGCCACTTCAACTATGCCAGAAGAATGCTACAGTTTCTTCAAAATGTTAAACTGAAATATCATCCATTGCTAGAAAAATGCAACAGGATTTTCCTTAAAAGTGCCTCCCGTCTTGATATCCACAGTATTAGTAATATTTTTGGACTGTACGAGCAGCTGGGTTTTGACAATGCTGAATTCCGCTTGCTTGCTAATCAGATACTGTCTGAAACTATAGATGATTATTACCATCCTGAAACCTTTGCAAAATTATTTTTTGCTCTTGGGCCTATGGCAGGATCCAGGGTAAGAGAAAGGTAAGTTTATTAATGATTTTTTCTTATTTATGATATAAATTTTCTTGCACAGAAATTAAAAATGTGTTAATGTTTGGAGGAACTTCTGAGCCATCTGTGAGCTGAACCTTAGGTTTCCTGGTTGTAACTTTGTAGCAATGGATGATTTAACTATGAAAACATTGTCAAAGCAGTTTGTTTTGAGACAGTTGCATAGAAAGCTAGATCCAGCAATCAAGTGATATGCAAATGCTGTTATGCAAGACCATCTTGTAGCTGTCTTAGACTACAGCCTTCCTTTCACAGGGGATGGTAGTAAAAAGCTTTCTGTCTTTTCCCTGAGGCATATGTGCAGTGGTATGTGTTGCTTTTTCCTTTTTAAGACTGGCAGTAGCTGAAACAGCCTGAGTCTTGTCCTGTACCAGATTGCTGACATCCTATTCTTCATGAAAGGTCGTCAGCAGGGAACACTTTGACGTTTATTTAGCAATTAGAGTATTATGTTACAGACTTTTTTTTCTTGTGCCACAAAATCCTACTTGGGGTGGTGTTACTCATGGGTCTCTCAAAGTCTGTAGTTTTAGGCAGCATTTGCTTTATTTATTACAATGAGTTGTATTTTCATACTTTCCTTCATGAACATCTGCCTCTATTCAGAGATTTGGATATACTGCAAGCCTATGTTGGTTTTTGCCATAGCTGACTTAGTTCCAAAAGCTTTTCCTAGATTATTTATTTATTTAATTTGTGGTAAACACTGGCTTTTTAACTGCCCCAGAACCACTTCAGTTCATGTTTGATTCTGTTATCTGTAGCTTCCTGATTGATCATGAATTGTTTAATGTCTTAAAGTATCTTCCCTACTTCTTGTCTACTTTTAGAATTGTTGGACTCACTGGTTTCTAGCATCAGAACAATATGCACTGATCCAACACACTCACACCCCTTTACCTGTGCTATACAGATTAGCTGTTTAGAAGAAAAGTCCAGAGAATGAAAGTCTCTAGTTTGAGGGAATTTGTTTTCCTGTATTTCCTGAAGCACTCTTTTGGTTCTTTCCCTCATAGACAAAGAAAATTGCTGCAGTCTTTGCTGGAGATTTTCATCTGTTTTTCATTGGAAAATATGTCTTTTCCCCTTTAGGTTGCTAGTAACTGCAGCATACATGGCAGAAGAATTTAGCAGTCACCAGGTATTGGTGATACTGAAGACAATGAAGAAAATGAAATGCAGAAATTCTCATCTACTTGAAAAGTAATTTTTTTGATACTACTAAGAAGGTGTATTCTCTAGGTAAACTACTTTCATTTAGTGTGGAAAACTGTATAATACCCAGTAAGTGAGGAGTGGAGGCTGTGTCACTTGCACACAAATGCATCTACACTATAAATAATTAGGTAATACAGATTTTAGAATATTGCAGCTTGACCCAGAAGAAATTGAGGAAATTTAGGAATTTCATAGAAAAGCATTTCAGCCCTACCAAGTTAATGTCATATTATATCTGGCTTATTTGCAAATATGTGTTCCCATTTCAGTAAACTTAGCCCCTAACACTTACTGTAAACTCAGAAGAAAAAAGAGAACGTGTCCACGTTTTCTACAGTTGTAAACTGAACATTGTTTATAAGGAGAGGTAATATCTATCATACAATGAAGGGGAAAGCAGCTGTTTTGGGCACAGAAGATGTAGCATTAGATACATCAGAGATGCAGCAGAGTTAAGTACAGGTCCGGAGCAATAACTGGATTGAAGGTAGTTGTATGAACCAAAGAGATCCTTGGAAGAAAAAGGACATACTTGTGTACTATGGATCAAAGGAATACTAAGGGTAAATTCATGCCTTTTCTCCTTGAATCTCACTGTCTGAAGAAGGTCTTAAGGTATTATCTTTTCCTATAAATCTATCCCCCTCTTTGCAGTCTTAGACCAACAGTGAGTGCAGTGGTGCTGAAGCTGGTGTTGCTGTTCTAGTTTTTTCCATTCTTGGTCCACTTTAACTGATTGTGAAATCTGAAACAGAACTTATTAGTGTGAAGTAGCTGATTTGCTGCAATGAGGGTTTTAATTTTGCAGTTCACTAAATGGAGAGAGGCTGCTGTGTCTTTGGGGACCAGGGTCAAAACTGGTGTGGAGAGGAGTGCAGGTGTGTGAAACCCTCCATATGTACGTACTGTGCATCAGAGGACACCCTTTCTTCAATGTGGGATGTTGGAGTTTGCAGTATCTTTTGTATTAGTGTAACACTATGTAATCTTTTTCTCTTTGTATTCAGAATGGCTTCTGTTCTGCACAAACACTTGGAGAGTTATCATGTATTACAGCTGGTGAAGTTAACACAGTACCTGACGGGGTTGCGATGCCGCAATCTGGAGCTGTTTGCCAAACTGAAAATGTTACTATTAGGGTAAGTGTGTATTCTTGGAAATGTAACTATTTAAGTATTAAACAGTTCTCTACCTAAGATTTCAAATTACAAGCTAAGATGTTAAAGTGTTTTGTTTCCATAAAATATGAAGAAGTAACAAACTGTTGGAATATTTGATTCTTTTAAATGCCTAAATCAGAGGATAGGAAGTGATTGTTGTCTTGTTTATAGACCCAACGGTATCTGCTAATAGATATGATACCTTTCAAAAATATTTTTTTACCTCTTATTCCTTTGGTCACTGCAATATTGAAATGACAGGAAATTTTGATTGTTTTTTTATTGGAAGGGCAGGTATTAATGTCGTCTTTGATGTTTGATGGAAGAAGTAATGAAAAATAGGTAGTAAGGATGCCTTGGTTGGGACAAGTGAAAGTGTGAAGCAGAAGTACTTTTTTTTTGATTGAAGAACTGTCCAGTTAATTCTTAGGCTTGTAGAGTTGCAGCAGAAAGGGAAACAGTTTCTGGAATTGCTGGAGAGGAGATCTTCCTTCCATTGCTCAGCCTCTCTAGGAATGTAGTGCCTTGCTGATAATTCCTTCATGTTCCTCAGGCACCTCAGAACCTGGTGCTCCCTAAGACAGAAATCAGAGAAATGACCCAGGCCCAGAAACCCACACACCCTTAACAAATATGGACTTTCTAGCCTTAATAAGGACTTCTGTGTTTATCAGTAACATTTAAAGCCTCTCCAGCTGACTGAGCTGCTCCCTGTCTTCTTCCCTTTTTTCAGTTTTGAATAAATTAGAAGTTAATCTTATTTAAAAAAACATGGCAGTCCCTAGCAGTGTGAATTTCTACCACATCATTAATATTCCACTTATTTTATATTTGATATGCAGCTTTTGACTTCTAAATTAGGATTTTCATGCATGTAGTTTATTTGGGTTTTTAAACACTTACACTTTGTCATTACTGATGGACTATTTTTATTTCCACCTTTCTTCCAGTTATTTAAAGTCTAGTGTGATACCTGCTGATACTGCAGCCATAATTCGTGTTCTGGCCATGCTACCTTCTTTTCAAGTGGAGGAGATGATTACAAACAAAGCAGCAGCAGTTCTGCCTCAGTGCAGTCTCCATCATTTGAATTGCATTGCTACAGCTCTTGTCAAATGGAATCATCATGACCAGTTGCACTGGCAAAACAGTTCTGAGCTATGTGCAAAGCTTCTGCAAAAACTAAATGACTGTGGATTTGAGAGGCTTCAGAAAACCAACAGCTTAAATCTTCTGTTGGAAGAACTTACACATGTGAATGGAGAGTGGTTTGAAGAAGTCCTGAATGAGGAAACTGTGGCCATGTGTCAACGCTTGATAGACCAAATAACATGGACAAATGTATCACCACTGTCTTTTTTTCTCAAAAAAACAAACCACCGTTGTCCTGCCTTATTTGACAGAATAGCTTCTGTGACTGTTGAAAATACAGACAAGGTGTTAGAGCTTTTCTTTCTATCTGCTATGTGAGTTATTCAGTAGAAAAGGAGAGGTTCATGTGTTGATGTGTTTCAGAGCACAGTCCACAGTGTTTCTAAGTTTTCCTCAGTGTACCTGATTTGGAGCTCATCTTTTTTTGTGTTCACTCAAAGCTATTTTGCTTCTATTTATATAAATTTGCACTTACTTCTCATTAGTTTTCATTTCTTACTGTTCAGTCAGTGTTAGGTCAGCCATAACCCTGTGCATTCAACTTTACATTTGACAATCTTAAATTTTTTTTTTAAACTTCTTTATAAATAGCCACATCAGCTGGTGTGTATTTTAACATTACTCATTGTTGTGGGGGTTTCCCCAGTAGCTTGTCTTTTTGGTCAAAATTACTCTTTTTTCTTACTATCTTTTTTTCCTCCTCGTTCTCAGTCTGGTGTTCATATAAATCTTTGATTTTATTCTATTGCAGTTTAGTTTCTTTAAGAGCATTTAATGCAAAATCTTTTTGAAAGGTTCTTTAAGTATATAGAAACACTTGGATCATCTATGTGAAATACATCTTAAGTTTTAGCTGTTGCTGCAGATTCAATTATTTCTGCATTTCATTTTTCAATTGTTTCCTTCTGGAATAGTTGACAAAAAATTAGAAAATAGCTCATCTAGTCTTAAATCTCCCAATTCTGAATGAAGTATAAAACTCTTCTTTATTGTAAAGCAATATTATTATATATTGCAGTGACTTGATTTTGGATGTCTTTTTTTCCAGATCCACCCCTCTGAAATCTATTTTATTCTCTTCCTTTTCTCTGCTTTGAATTATGACAATGAAGAGTTCTTTAAGAGTTGTATCCAACATCTTACTTCTAACTTGAGTAAGTGCATTAGAAAAAGATATTCTGACACCAAATAAATGTCACTGAAAGTTATTATTTTTATCGAATGAAAATAGGAATAGAATGGCACTTTTGTTAAGCAAAGAAAAAGTATGTATGTTACTACTAATATTCTGCCTAGTGGGGTTAAACCATTACAAAGATTCAATGCTGGGTTTCATTTCACCCTTTAAAAATTACTGTTAACAAGGGACTAGCAAAAAAATTTTAGTGTAGTAAAAAGCAAGTGATAATTCTGGTTAATTCACTGTGCTGCTATTGGATAGAATTGTTGTGGTGTTCCCCAAGGAATCGTCATTTGTGAACAGGATACATTTTGTGATCCACCACAAATAAATGGTTTAAGTTGTAGAGGAAGTGTGTAGAAACTTGTATAGTACGTTAAGGGAGAAAATTAGACAATTTGGGAGGCCAGGAGAAGGGCACTGCAAATCCTTTCAACTTTATGTCATGTGTTAATATGTATTTCTGTCTGTTTTTTAAAGGTTATTTTGAAATTTATCAGTTGGTGCTGCTTGGTCACGTTTTGGCAGTGGCTGGGTATTTTCCTCCGATTCTGATAACAACGATATTTAATGTTTCTTTCCTAAGCAAACTGGATGCTCAACTTAAAGGTAGATATCTAACTCTCTGATGAATTTGATTGTGTAGCATAAAATGCAATTATGGACTACCTATGACTTGAGAAGTAGAATTACTCTTTAAATTATTCCATTTTCTAGAAAGACTTCCTTTATATAATCTAGTCATGATTTGAGTACTAAAAGGAAAGGAATGAACAAAAATCTGTGCTTTGTTTTAAAAGTACAGACTTGTATTGCAGATGAGAAAAGGTCATATAAGGCAAATTTTATAGTCACCTTATTGTACTCAGTATATAATAATTCTTCAATTTTGTTGGAAATAAAATTACCTGACTCTGATGTTTATTACTAGAAAGAGTCACAAAGCTCAAGAAATATAGTGGGATTCTTGCCTGCAAGAAATGTGTCCTACCAGTCTCTTCTCTCTAAATAAGAGACAGTTTATTTCGTCCCTCTCTACCTGTACATTGTTCGCTATCAACGTATTGTTGCCATTTTGCCTTCAAGTACTTAATTAAAAGTTAAATGATAGAAGCAATTTTATATCTTCTGTCTTGCTGTTGTTCTTAACATTGAGCAGAACTGTTACTTTTCATTTTTTCCTCAGGGATTTTGAGCACCTTTCTAAAATTCTGCAACATGAATTTTATAAATGCCATAGTGTACACGCTTGCATTTCTAGTAAAGAATTCAGAGGCAGCCATTTAGGTCCATAGGTTGGATTTTTCACATTGCAGTTTACACCTTTGTATGTTTGTTTGTGGTTTTTTTAATCAGTCCTGCCTGATACCCTAAAGCAGAGGGTCTGCTCTCGCCTCATGAAGTTGAACAGAGCAGTCTGTCTGGAATGCCCAGAGTTTCACATCCCTTGGTTTCATGAGCAGTACTGTCAACGTGTCTTTCATAACAGTAAGTAACTTAAGAGAGGAAAACCTGCCCTTGTTTCTAATAGTAGTCTATTTTCAATAATCTACTAGATGTTTCTTCTAAAACTGTCAGGTTGACACTACCACACCACAGAAGATCAGGAAGGTGCAACCCACTCTCTGCTGAGCATGTCTTGGAAAGTGCAACCGCTCAGTAGTGCAACAGAGAGCAAAGCAGTTTTCCTTGTGATAATTAATGTAATAGAGATGGGATTTTTCCTTCTAAGAAATAAAATTTAAATAAACAGAAACAATGTATATGGCATGAAGGATGGAAAGACAGGAGGAGGATCATTAGGGTTGTCTCCTGGAGGATATGGATCACTTTGCTCCCTACTTCACTTACAAGACTGAACGCTTGACTTAAATTTTTCAATAGGAACATTTTTACTGCTTGTTTTTGAACTTGCTCCTGCCTTCTTCCTCAGAAGAATCAAGATCCATCAGGAATGAGAGATAAAGAAGTAGGCTAGTGATCAATGTAGCAGCTGAGATCTTTCAGAATAGTGATAAATTCAGAAAATCCAGCTAATGCATGGAGTATCTATCCTCCACTAATTCACATGGAGAAATCTGCTTTGCTATCCAGAGAACTCAGCTACTTTGTCTCTCAGAGACTGAAGATGTTTTGGAGCAAGGTGTTAATCTGCAACAGACAGAGAAGTGACAGATAGTGTGGTGTGCCCGTAATAAAGGCAAGATGAGTTTTTGTAGCATGTGAATCAGCAATATCCTCGGATGGAAAGTCTGGATTTGAAATTTATGCTCCGCAGCACTTACCTGCTGCCTTCCATCTAAAATATGATCACTTGGTCTCCGAATTATGATGGAATAGCCCAGGGATCTGTGGAAAAGATTTAATTCAATAGCCTGGCTGTCAAAAATGCAATGTCTCAAAGTGCTCTTTTCAGAATTTTGACTGTGGAAGTTTTGATGTATGAATTCTTTGTTTTGTCTTTGTAGGCATGAGCCGAATAAATCCACTGCGACAGCACGTTCACAGAATGCTGACAGAGATCTTAGGAGGGAGCCAGTACTCCAGAATATCTGTTCTCACACCATACTACTATGAAATAGGTGAGAAGTTAATACTCTAAGGATTGTTATTATTACCAAGATTAGAAAGCCTGTGGTCATGTTGCCACAAGATGTTGCAAAGAAGAAATTGTTGTGTAAAATACAGTTTCTAAAAAGTTCTGCATAATATAAATAATGTTGGATATCTCTAATTTTGTCTATCACTTAGTTCTTCTAGAAGTAAACACTGTACAGATCAAATTCTTCCACTTTTGTCAGTAAACAGGTTTGCTGTGTTTTCTGACAGATTTTGAGTGTGTCCTGGATGAAAATAAAAAGCCTCTTTCCTACATGGCTCAGAATATACCTTTGGATGATGTGGGGGGAATACACTTGAGACATGACATCAAAGATGAAGGGAGAAAGGCTCTGCCACCAGGAGCTCAGAGGTTAGTGCATTGAATTCTTGCACGTTAGCTCTCCCAAGCTTCCAAGTTAACATCCAGTTTAGGCCAGGTTTTTGATGCTTATGTCCTAAATATTTGTTGCAACCCTTATGCTATTTATTTTTCAGTTCCTTTTTCCTAAGTCTAATGAGGTTTAGCCTTCCAGGGTGTGGTGGGTCGGCCGCAGCTGCTCCCACACAGTTGCATGCTCATTCCCTTGCAGTGTGATGGGGGACAGAATCTTGAGGGTAAAAGCAAAGAAGAAAACTCCTGGGTTGCAATTAAAACAGTTTAATAAGTGAAGAGAAGAAAGGAAAAATATAAAAGGGGAAAAGAAAACAATTGATGCACATGCAGTCATTCACCACCAGCAGCCCAGTGGCAGAGCAGTGGCTACTTGGGAAAAACTCCCCTCTGTTTTATTGCTGAGCATGATGTTGTATGGTGTGGACTATCACCTTAACCAGTTGAGGTTCCCTCCCATGGAAGGTGTCCCTTCCAGACCTCTTGTCTGTGCAGCCTATATGCACTGTGGGTCCAGAGTGAGAAAGTCTTGATGCTGTGCAAGCAATAGCTGTTCAGCGATAGCCAAAATATTGGTGTGTTGTTAACACTGGTTTGGTCACAAGTTCAAAACACAGCACCAGATGAACCGCCATGAAGAAAAGTACCTCCATCCCAGCCAGATCCAGTATACATTCTTGAAATGTGTTTCATGAGATTGGAATACTCTTTCCCTCCTACCTCTTCAAATGTAAGCTTTGAAAATGCTAGTTAACTGTTTTTACCATTTGAGCAAAAACAGGTGTCAGGAAAAAAATGCTTTTTCTAAATCATGTAAAATTCAAATATCTCTAGATAAATAAGAGGAAAATGTTTTGTCTGGTTTCTGGGAGTTGTTTAATTTTCTTTTTCTGTGAATTGTCAGGTTTATCTTGTCTTGCTGCAGCTTTCAGTATTAAACTAGAAATATCACTACTTGCTATTCAGGTAGGACCTGAAAGCAAATACACGTCTTTGCTGTTTGCAGAATTGCTTTGGAATTTCTTGATTCAAGAGCTTTTAGCAAAGATTATTCACGTCATCTGAAAGGAGAACCTGCAGTGAAAAAACGACACCTGGAAATGCTGGGATACCGAGTAGTTCAGGTGAGCATCCAGCAATACTTTGTCCTTTCAGAGTTGTATCCATAGTGCAAAATGATCCATTTTCCATGCAACAGGTTTAGAGACAGTTTTTATAGTTAAAAGCATCTACTGGGTGAGAGCAATTTTTGTGTTTAGGGAGGAAATTCCAAGCTGTTCTCAAAATGATTTATGGACTTCATAGAACTTGCAAAGAGGCTGAAGCAAAACTGAAGTCAAAAGGTCTCAGTCTTACGTTACTGCAGGCAAACTAGCTATGTCAGTGTAAAGCTATGTGAGTAAAGGAGAACAAGTGAAATGAGAGTTTCAGTTCAAGTCACTCAAGATTTCTACAGTAGAAGATGATTGAACATACCCTCGAGTGGTTTTGAGTGCCAGTTTTGGCAGCTGCCAGATGGGATAGGGATGCTGTTTGTCTGCTGCAGTGATGGCGCTGCGACAGGGAACACCAGTGGCCAGTGATAATTCACAACCATCAGCAATGAAACATTTTGGTAATGGAGGCTCATGAATTTGGAGGCTCCTGTATATTTAATTACTCATCTACCCTAATTTTAGCTAGACTCCTTCTTTTAGCTTAAATTTGGTTGGTTTTCTTGTTTCTTTGAAACAGAATAATCATCTTTTCTCATGTTATACTACTGCTACACTATTCCAGTCTAATAGATTAACATTAAAAACTACAGTGACCTGGGATTTTTCTCTCAATTTGGATTTTTAAAGTGGGAGATGGTGTAATGGAGTTATCACAGCCTATACTGTGTGGGCATCTGTTTTACATTTCTGCAACTATGCTGCTTTTTGGCAACAAACTGACTGTACTTACATAAAGAAGAATCTTACATTGAGAAATGGATCGTCAAATATCTTCAAGTGGAGAACAAGAGATATCAGAGAGCCTTTGCTGTGAATGGTATGTGTCTTACACCAGTGTTAACACTCAGTTTGTATGATTCTGTTCTACAGATTCCTCACTTTGAATGGAATTCTATGGTTCTGTCAACAAAAGGTGAACAGCTAGAATACCTGAGACAGCAGCTGTATGGAATACAGTGATGTCAGACATGCAGTCTAAAGTACTTCTATAAAAACATTTTATGTACCACCAAACGTTTTGTAATCCTGGTATACATAGTTTCAAAAATCTCTTTATCTGTGAGTCAGCTGGACCAAGGCTTGCCACAGGCATCAAGTGTAAAGGCATTGCAAAAGGCAGGTCATAGTGGGCCATGAAGATCCAATAAGGATGCTTAAAATTTCTTATTATCTGGAAGCTATTGTTTAATCACATGAAGCTCTGGCAGTTTTGCTGTAAAATTACATTATCATCTCCTAAATAAATAGTACAGAGGCTTAGCCAGACATAAAACTCTTTAAAGAAAAAGGTGGAAATACTCTTGACTGTGAGAGAAGCGTCAGCAATCTATTGGAAACCACGTCTGTCCTCCAGCATGAGACAGAATGAGCAGCTGGGAATCAAACAGTATCTGTACTCTGAAACCAAGACACTGAAATGCAAATTGACTAAGCATAGGGCTGCTTTTAGAGCCATTCAGTTTCTGTCTCCCAAAACAGAGGCACTGCGGGGGACTGTGCTGGGGGAGGGTGTTGTGTGGCGAGGAGCCTCCAGCTTCTCCTACCCTGTGATGTGGCACATACAAAAGTAGGGCTGAGTCTTCTGGAACACCTCCATATACCTAAAAACCCTGCCAGGGTTTGTGCAGGAGGCACAAGGCACTGAGATGTAGAAGGAAAAAACGGAATAGGCAGCAGAATGTTCATTGTAGAGCAAACTGTAGAGTGGTCATACTTGACAGATCAGCCTGTTTTCAGAGGCAGCCACGTTGCCCACGCTGCCATCATCTCATGACTGCTTGCTCTGCCTGTCCTTCACATACACAATGTGGCTGTGTTTTCTTCCTCATTTAGTAGAAGCAGTAGACATTCTTTTACCACTTCCTTTGAAACCTGGCAGAGGTAAGCAACTGCATTTCTGAATTGGCCATTATGCATCTGCTGTCACTTTTTTTTGTTTTACTATTCAGTAGCAGAAGAAAATATTTTTATTTACTGAATACAAATCAGGACAGGAATGGAAATTCAGGAAAAAACAACAGAACTGATCTAGGCTGCAAGATGAAGAGGAAGAGGGCTTTGAGGAAGTATCATTGAAGGGACAGCCATAGAAAGACTCTATGCACATTCTATTTTGTATAAAATGGAGAAAACAATCATAAATATAGGTTAGTATCTAAGAAGGTGGGCTACATGTCAAAGGGCTGTTGCATGACCCTGTTTCTGTACAGATGGCCTTCACAAAGCAACCTTGGAGTCTAAGAAAGGTGGCAGTGGCTTAAATGTTCAGTCATGGGTGGTCATGTGTTTCAGCTGAACCCTGCTTTTCAGAGTTCTAGCAGTCACTGTGCCAAGCCAGCTATCTTCAGATTATGTATGGATAAAGTTATGAGTATGCACAATGGGAAGAGGATTAAAACTTGCTATGAGTGGGTTCAGAAAGGGCATTGAAGAAAAGCAAACTATAAGAGTATTTCAATAAAATGTGTTGTCTTTGATCCTTTGCAGTCATTGTTTCTAAATTAAATCAGCAAGTGTTAGAGGAGTGATCTAACTGGAGCCAATGAAGAGGTGCTAAGAACAGCAGAAGATTTGGGTACTAAAGGGGTAAACAGAAAAGATTTTCCACAGATTAAGTACTGGCAGACAGTACCATACTGAAATGAGCTATGATGGCTGTGCCTTTGCCATATATTTACTTCTGTCTTTTAGGAAGGCAATGCTAGGGGTCATTTGATAATTGGAATTGCCATTCAGTCAGGTATGGTGGCTTCTTTTCCAGTTTTCCTGCTATGTCAGTTGTAATTAGATTTAGATTTATGAAATTCTTTAGATTATGACACCCTCTTTATTCAATGGAGAAATCCTTTGAGGAGATACTCTACTTAAAGAAAACTGAGTGCTCTGTTTTGGGCAAAGGCTGTACTAAGAAATCTGTGTCCTGTCATTATGGTAGTGATGATGAGCTGATAGCTTAAAAAGACACCATCAAGTGATACTTTTATAATTTTAAAAACAAAGTTTAATTGTTAAAAGTTTTCAATGTCAAAATGCATCAACTCTTTATTAGATGAAAAAGTCCTCTCTGTCATAGGTATTTACTGACTATCAACTCTTCTTGGACTTTTTTATGAATGCTTGTTATCAGCCTCAGATCTCTGAGAAAAACTTCCATAAAATATTTGCTTTGGAAATAAATATAAAAGCATAAAAAAAGTCAAAAATTCTTGTTACTAGAAGCCTAAACATAGTAGGTGAAACATTAGAGCTATTAACCTTGTGAACTTCTCTCTCTTCCCTCAAGTCTGGCTACTAGTACAGCTTTGGCTGAGACTGGCATTTATTAGGCCACATAGTATTAAGCCCCTTTTGTTTTTAACATGCATTTCAATTCAAGGCTAAATTATTTTTTTGAGGGCTGTGATGAAAATATTTCCAAGATATTGCTGAAGAGTGCAGGATTTATATATGCTGCTGAAAGGGGTAATCTGGCTATACAAACTACCAGTTAGAATAAAACTAGCTACCTATTAGTTGTATTTAATTTAACAGTTAATTCATGGGCAATTTTTGGAGGGTAAGCCACCAATATCCTGGATTGTTGGAGTGCATGGAAGTCTAACTGGTTTTATTTGCAATTTCACAGTGTGAAAAATGGAGTCCTTGCCGAAATCTTAATTTATTTTAGTCAATGTTAATTAGAGCTCTTCAGGATTTTAAACACTGGCAAAAATTCAGTGGTTGCTGGTTAACTAGTAAATATCTTAAGATGTGGACAGACAAATGAACTGTTTAATGGTTCCCAGTATAATTAGCACGCTGTTATAAAACTGTACCATTTGGGGACATTTTCATGCAACAAAACCAGAAGAGCCTATTGAAACTCCCTCACCATATCATATCTTCCAGCATTTTGTTTACAGTTTTGATAACTTGAAGAGGTTTAAGCGTGTAGCCAGGCAGGAGGCTCCAGTAGCATATCGGATCTCTTTCAGTATGCCAATCCATTCCTTCTTTTCATCATCATACCTGCATTTAAAAAAATAAGGTTAGAAAATAGCTTCTTAGTTTCATGCTTCAGCACACATTCATGAAAAGGAGGATAGTGCACCTGTTGCAAAGGCTTGTAGCAGCCATGTGCTAAAGGATGCCACAGAAGGCTGCTTTTGTCCTCTGGATCAGAACAGAAAGATGTTCTTGTGCCTGAGTTGTCCTTTTCCTGGTCCCTAAAGCTTGTTGCTGGCTCTGTCATGCTTTAATTACTTGTATAAAGCTTCCTCTTTGTCTTAAGTATCCCTTCTCAATTTCTTCAGATTCTTGCAAATAAAGTTTTTTTTGGGGGGAATCCTTCCTACTGCCAATTAAAACTTCTCAATTTACATTAACAAGTGAAGAGTCTCAGCAGAGATATGATGTTTTATCACTGATACTGTGATTAGGTTAAAAAAATCTAGGAGATAGGGAATTCCGATTCTCTTGGAACAGTTACTCATTTGACTATTAAAACATCAGTATGTACAGGCCACTGTGTACACCTGCTTTTCTGCATAAGAATATCATGAGAATGTTTTTATTGGCAAGGCTAAACCTGCCAAGTGATATGGCAACTTACTCTTTTAAAGAAACTGAAGATAATGACTCATACCAGTCAAATGATTAGTAGGTGGAAGTAGTCATCTGATCCAAGTCTCGTGTTTATTTGATACTTTCTGACAAACTTTTTTATCTGTCAACAAGTGCTTTACAACCTGTGCTATGGATCATTTTCAGAGTTAAACAGAAAAATAACATTAACCTCCAGTGTCTACAAACCTCAGTTTCCACCAGGAAAGTGTGACTAAAATTAAACTTACTTCCATATGTCAGTGACTTCACTAGGTGCAAATTCTTTAGATTCAAGCTGAATCATTGCAAAGCCTCCAATAGCATACAAAGCTCCGCTTAAGGTGACTAAACTGATGGAACTTCTCTCTTGGGGAAATTCAGGCATAACCTCCCATCTAAAGATGAAAAGAAAAACTCAAGTTTAAACATGTGAGAAGTATTGTAAACTGAATGCACTAAGATACTCCTCTGAGTGACACAAATTCAGGAACCAAGGCCACTTGAGTGAATGGTTTAGTAAAAGGAAAAATTTCTGAGATTTATTAGCGGTAAGTTTCAGTGTTTCCATCCCCACAGGGACTTCTGCAGGTCTTAAATGACACAATTACACTGTGATGACATCTTGTCCCAGAGACCACTTCTTACAGATTCCCTGGTGCCATCATCAGTAATATACTTCATACAGATGTATTGTTCCCCAGTTATTCTCATTTTTCCCTCTAGTTTCCAAAATGCATATTTAAGTGGCATTGGCATAATAATTTGAGCTAAAAAAATAATCACTGGTTCTCATTAGTATAATTTCAATTTTTCTGCCAATTCACACCTATGAACATATAAAACACACAAACATCCCACTTCAGGATAATCTCAACATTAAAATTAATAGGCCAATTTTTCTTTCTTGCTTGTGTGACTTGACTGTAAGAAAATAGAATAAACCAAGACAAGAATCTGCAGATTTTTCAGACCATGAGCTGCATATTTCTGAACGACAGAAGAGGAGAATGTGCCAGACATCATGGTAACAAATAACATTCACTTTGCTTTCTATAGAAGTAAAGTTAGAAGTTCCCTCATGGAATTTCTTGTATAATGCACGTTTTGTAATGTTAAATTTTAGAAGCAAGTCTCTTTGGGATAGCATACATTTAAGTTAATGCTTTTGTTATGAGGTTGAAGGCTGCAATGCCACATGTCAGTGAAGACAGCACAGGCAAATGTGTTAATATAGAGCAGAAATGCTTATTAAGATAAAGGTGCATTCAGGACCACTTACAAGTTTGAGCTGTCACAATAGAGTTTTACTGATACTATTTGAAATGAAAGTTTGTAAAGAAGGTGATAGGAAGGAAAAGTAATGAAAGTAACAAAAAAAAGAAAATTAAGATTAGAAAGACATATGCAGAGTGTATAAATGCCTAGAAAATCATAAACATTTGATGGATGCTGACTGCAAAAGATTCTGGCTGTGTAGAAGAGTATTGGAAAGTATATAGACCAAATAAGTGAGCTAATTTCAGGTATGACTTACTCTCTTTTGTCATTACTCTTTCTATATAGTATTTCAGAGCATGCACATACATTTGAAGTCTTCCTGGAGTTTTCATATTAAATAAGTATGTCACTAGTCAGTGGTAAATGGCATTTGCTGTGACAAGGTAAGTGAACAGCAAGACATCACAAGGCCAAGTACCTGAAGGACATTGAGCTGGTCCTCTTCAAGCACCCGATTTCTCTTGCCAGGATTTCACATTTATTGCCAGTGCTATTTGAACTAGACTGCACCGCCCTTGCTCATTCTCCCACTTCTTCCCTATTATGGCACCACACCTGTTTATGTGTCGTGGGGTCAACTAAATTGGGAAAGCAATCAGACTTTAAAAAAAAAAAAGGAGGGTGGTGAGCATGTTTGCAATGTAGCTGTGCTGACAAATGCATGTGGGGCAGGAAAAATGGCCAGAGATGGGCTCTGTAAACTGCTGCTGTTGTTGCTAAAGATGTGATTGTAGACCAAATGTCTCAGTGGGAGTACAGGTACCTGAACACCTTTGTGACTTACTTTGGAGCTTCTAAAGCTTCAATGATAAAACACTTCCTTAAAATAGCTTGAATATTGCACTCACTTATTGGTGGTCAGATCAAAAGCTTCAACAGATGCAGTAAGGCCTTCCTCGGTGACACCACCTGCAATGACAATCTTGCCCTTATGGATCGCCGTTCCAAACATCGAGCGAGGCACTTTCATTGGAGCCAGGTCTCTCCAGTCTCCTTTCTTGGGATTGTACACAAATAGTCTATTAGTGCATTTCCTGGGGAGGAAAAAGAAAACCTGTGATCGTGTCTCATGAAATTTTGGCTTGTTCCAAATGAGACCTAGTTGAGGTAGATTGTGTGGGTTTATGTATAACACCTCTTTCCTCTTGTGCAGATCCTTTCTTGTATCTAATCTGGGAATCCTTGCAATGTCTACAAAGCACTAATCACATCCATAGAACTAAATCAAATGTTAAATGCTGTTTATATTACACAGGACAGCAATTTCACTGTACATTAGAGGAGAAAGACAACATCCTTTCCCAGCATATTGAATTCAGATGCATTTGTGGAGGAATATATGGGAAAGGTTATAAAGGAAAAATTATGCTGGTGTTTTGGCTGATTTGACAAATTTGTATCTTAAAAATCCCCTATACAAACACTTAAAAATTACCACCACATGTTCAGCGTGAGTGAAAACTTTTATTTTGTTAATGTTATACCTATTAAGGTATAACAGGTATCACAGGTCAGAAAACTGGAAAAACTGAGACAGTAATTCCATGGCACCTAGGTATTTCTATCTGAGAGGAAAGAATACTTTCAGTGAGGATCCTCAGAGCTTAGACACACT